AATGGACGTGCGATATCTTAAACACGGGGAATTATATCGAGTCTAATTAAAGCCCTAATTCATTTCGGGATAGGACGGGAGTGCAATATTAATTCTCTAATGGAATGAATTAATATTTACGGGCCAAATTGTGTTCTGGGCTGAACATAAGTATTTGGGCCTGTAAGGAGCCCAAACCCTATACCTTCTAAGAGATCCCTAGTCTGGCCCAAGGACCTCTATAAAAGGAGGGGACCTCCCACGTTTTAAACCCTAGCAATTCGTGAGATACTCCAGCCACCATCGTGGAGAGAGTAACGAGAAGGGTAAGAGAAAGATGAGGGCAGTCTGCTTCTTTCAACCGTTTGGAGGATCGTCGTCCATCCGACGTCCAAGTGTGGTCGGGACACATACTAGAAGGTCGCTCAGATCGAATCAATCCTCCTTTTTCAAGCTAATTCTCTGTTCGTCCTTTAGGAGCATGCCTAGGGTTATTCAAAATCATGTATGTACGTGTTTGGTATCCGATATCGATCCGCGGGAAGGACCGCCTCGTCGGCGTGTTCCAGCAATTGGTATCAGAGCCTCGGTTTCGTAGATTATTGGCTCTGCCTGAAACATGTAGTTGATTTTGTGTATTCATTTTCAGTCATGTTTATGTTGTGAATGAATTTATTTCGTTTATGCTTCTGGATTGTGTCTATCGCAGCCCTTTTGTGTATTGTTGTAATCGTTTTTCCCACCAGATAATAAGTGTGGGTAGTATAGGCGATTTTGTAGACTGTAGTAGGGCTGTTGTTGTTTGATTTTGCTGTAATTTTGTGTTCAAAGTCGAACTTGAAGAAAGATGATCAATCTGGAGGCGGCGGCTAGGGTTTCAGCATTCACCGGGGCCGGTTTTGTCGGCAGAAACTGTTTTGGCCATAACTTTTGCTACAGGTGTCGGATTTCAGCCCATAATACCATTTCGGAAACGGGAGAGCAAGATCTACACATGTCACGGCATCGCCGTAATGGCCTGTGGCGGGGTCAAATTCAATCGTCTAGATGAAGTTTTCGGCCCTTTTCCGTCGGTGGGTGCGGACATTGCGTGAACGACCCGATTTACGCGAGATGCCGATTCGAGTGTTCATCCACGACCTTGCTGAATCATGTAATAGCTTTGATAGGCTGTTAGTGGTTAGATTTAAGGGGTTGCGATAGATGTATTTTAATTTTCGCAATTTTATCGCTTTGTGGATGCCGATTTAATTTTTGCTAGAACATGTTTATTTGATTATATGTCTAGCTGATTTAAATCGATTTTCTGGTATGCTATAAATCATGTGAATAGGTGCTATAAATTCTTAGAAAGCTGTCATTGCTTT